ATTGTCAACAAGGAATCCAGGTTGGTTAATGATGACGACTCAGTATTTTAATTATAAACAGTTTTATATACCTATTTTTCAATGTATAAAATACATAATATAATGTATATTTAAAATATTTTTATTTTCTGTGTTTCAGAATGAATTTTTTAAGCAATTTATTCAAAAGAGCCACAATAATAACTAGAACTCCTCAAATTGTATCAGTGTTACAAACACCACCAGTTAAAGGATCAACTATAGTTCCTTCTAGAGGATTCAAAGTTTTTGGAAAAGTAAGAAAGCGTTGCAAGGATTGTTACTTTGTTACCAGGGATCAACGACTATACAATTTATGCAAAACTTTTCAAAAACATAAGCAAATGAGCATCAGACAAACAGACAAGGCTTACTATATTCTGACAGGTGTACAGCAAAAAAAACAAAGGGAATGGTGATGAAATTTRCCATAACTTAGTTAAAAAAAATCAAATTTTTTACATAATATTTTGATATTGTGTATTCACTTAATTGGTGTACTTTGAAGTTAATAGTTATAGACTAAAGTGTTAGCMAATATTTAAGAAATATAATATGTTTTGTATTGCATAAATTGTATGTTATTTTATGTGCATATTATTGCATGTGTCAAATATAATATTTTTTAATTTTATTTAATTTCAAATAATATTTAAAAATATTCTTAACTTTTTGAATGAAATATTGCTAAAACAGATTGATTTTAATGCTAGTTTTAAATTTTGATTTGTAATGTACAATATTTCTACCAATGACAAAATATTTTTTGGTCATCCCAGAACCAGTAAACCATAAAAAAAGTACAAAATGCCAATAAATTTATAGCAATTTATTTTAATTTTTTTAGTGAGAAGAATTAAGTTCTAAGAACTACTAAAATTTTTAAACAGCTTGTTTAAATATTGTTAAAAGTTTTTCATTGTGTTAATTTAGCTCATTAACGCCAGCCTACAGAACAATGGATTATGAMATTGATTGATGACATGAACTATATAAGTCATAATTATTAATTCAGTTCGATCTGGTCTGGTTTTTACTATAAAAACGTGTCTTACAGGTAAAGCTTTCATACATTGTAGTCAGATTTTGTTATTTATTTATTTTTATTTAAAAAAACATTTTACAGGGGTCATTAGTTTAATAGGTGAGCCTTTGAGATTCATATTAATTTTCAATGTTTTAGACAATAATATAGTAGTATATTTTTAAGTGAATAGTGAATAACAATTAGTGGTTCAGTACATCACTAATATAGTCGGTGGTCGCCTAGCCATTGTTTAGAAAATCTCGGTAGGCAACTCAAAATATAGGCCAGCCATCATCCTAAAACTCCCAAACTAGGTGGACCTAAAGTAATCTATACAGCRTTAGGGGTTACCCACGATCTAGAGAAGACTTTCTATTATTATTTCTACCCATTTACTCTAAATCGCGGGGTCACCAAAATCTAAAGAGCCCATGGACAAATTTAACAAACTGCCAATAGTGCAAATTAATTTGGATTAGTTGATATAGTAGTAGGTATAAAAAAAAAAAAAAAACTATTCAAAATAAGAATTCCCACTTTCGCGCATGCAACTGAGCCGCCGGCAACCGTCAGACCACTCAGACAGTCAGACTCAGACCCCCGCTGGCGTGTATCGGCAGCACTGAACTCTATATAGAGTTCAGTGGATTAGAGTATAGTAACTTATATTTTGTAAGTAAGTTTGTACTCGGTTCTTCGTTTCTTCCCCAATAATAAAAATTGTATACATTATCTAAGGGTAATACTGGTAATACTGTATTTTATCTATATTTTATATATTATGTATTTTGATTGTGTTTGACACACTGAATTTTCACGATAATTTGTTATTTTTAAGGTTATGGTTCATAAGACTTGATAATTTGATATATTATTCTTACAAGTAAAGTAAGACCTATTCAGTATTCATTATTATAATTTTTTTACATGATAAATTTGTCATGATTTTTTATATGTCTGTTTATAAATATTATAAATATTGTAATTTTTTTTTCTCTACACTTTTTAACTAGAATAAAATCTTTTATGTATTTATTTTTAATAAACTAATTTAATTAATACTTAGAAGTTAAAAAAAAAAAAAATGCCTCCCAAGCCGAAAGCTCAGGGGACTAGTAAAAAAGCCGACGCTAAGAAAAAAGAAAGGGTTATTGAAGTAAGATATACAATTTTATATTCAATCTATACTAAAAATTGTATAGCATTTGTTTAAAATCTTATCAATTACCTACTTATTTGGCTTATAGGATAAAACTTTTGGCCTAAAAAATAAAAAAGGGGCTAAACAACAAAGATTCATTCAGCAAGTTGAGAAACAAGTTAAATCTGGTGGATTAGTGCGTAAAACGGATGAAAAGAAAAAAGATGATAAAACTAAAGATGAATTAGGAGTGATATTTAAACCAGTTCAAAAAGTTGAAAAAGGTAAAACTTCAGATTTGGTTTAAAGTTAAAAAGTTATTTTAAGTCCTATAAAATCTATAATGGCGTCTGAAAAAGAACTGGTGTAGGGACCTACTATCTCCTTTATTCACTTTCCACGGGGTGCCGTCACTGGGCGACTTCCTCCTGTCAATCAATCACCATCGCATTTACTTATTGTATAACTGGTAAATAAAGCTTGTAAATATTATGTTTTGTCAAATAAAAAAAAACCCAAAAACCAAAATCTATAATTCTTTGCCTACTTAATATAGTTTTTTACAGTTTAGCTTGTTATTTTTGTAGGTTCATAAGAAATTATATTTAATTCTTTWGTTAGTAAAGACAAAAGCATAACTAGTATGATAATAACATATMTAGGTATTTTTATTTTTTACAAACGTCAATTCATTATTCATACATTATTATTTAGTAAAAATTAGCATTAATATTTCAAATATCTAGTAGGTAATACCTTATTTTGAAAATTTTAAAAACTTAATTTGTGTAATAGCATCAATAGACGTACCATGTATATTTTAATATGAAAAAAGAATCCAGCTAGTCCTAATCTACTTTATTAATTTGAAAAAATATCCTGTATTATTTATAATTTCAGCAATAATTTAAGATTTTATTACGTAACAAATAAATTAGGTGCCGATCCAAAATCCGTCCTATGTGCATTTTTCAAACAAGGTCAGTGTGCTAAAGGATCAAAATGTAAATTTTCTCATGATTTGGCTACCGAAAAGAAAGCTGAAAAAAGAAGTATGTATGTGGATCTACGAGATGGTGAAGAAAATGATACCATGGAAAACTGGGATGAAGACAAGCTTAAAGAAGTAGTGAACAAAAAACACGGAGAAACTGATAAAAAACATCCAACAACTGATATTGTTAGTTACTTAAACGTTTAGATATTGTATAAAACTAAACTTTAATGTGATTTTTCTATTTTAGATTTGCATGTTTTTTTTGGAAGCTGTTGAAAAAAGTAAATATGGATGGTTCTGGTCATGTCCAAATGGTACCTCTTGTATTTATAGACATGCGTTACCGCCAGGGTTTGTTCTTAAAAAGGTTGGTTCTTAATATATGTATAATATAGAATACTATTTTTATTAAATAACAGGATATCTAAATATTATTTATGTCCTTATATTACCTACTTATTATATATATATATAAATAGGATAAGAAAAAAGATGACAAAAAGGATGAAATTCAATTAGAAGATTTAATAGAAAGAGAAAGAGCTGCATTAAATTCTGTTAAATTTACAAGAGTAACTTTAGAAAGCTTTTTAGCTTGGAAAAAACGTAAAGTTAGAGAAAAGAAAGATGCAATAATTAAAGATGAAGAAAAGAAACGAACAGACTATAAAGCTGGAAGACAAATTGGGGTTCGTAATTTATTTTTTGTTTTTTTAATGTCTAATTAAATGTCTAAATTATAATTTCTTAGCTTTCTGGTCGTGAAATGTTCTCATTTAATCCTGAGATGGCAATTGGTGACTCAATGGATGATGGAGAAGAAGCATTTGATGCTTATATACGTGATGAAGATGAGGAAGTAGATGGAAATGTTAAAGTAAGTTGTAAATTAAATTTAGATTTAATATTGTAAAAACCATTGGAAAARCTTACTAAAATGTTTTTAGTACTTCAATAATCAAATACAAAGCAATTACAGAGTAATCTATTTAATATCTATATAATCTAATAGAAAARGTATACATTTATTCAATTTGTTGATTTATACAGTTAATATTTCATACTTACAGATAAGTAAAAAAACCAAACAAGTTAGACAAATTCCTATTGAACTATTAATTTCTATTTCTTAAGCATTCCCTCAAATTGTACTTGATCAAGAGGCTGTTCTTGTAACATAATTGAGCTGTAAAAACATGCTTTCATATTTCCAAATTTTCTCAACCGTCAGGCATATAAACTCCATTTATTCACCAAGATAAACATGGTTTAGGGCCTGCAGCTACAGTGCATACAATTTAATATTTATTTAAACCTTAAAAATTAATTTATTTTAAAACTTATGAAAGTATTATGTTTTGAACATTTATATGTATACCTAAATACATTATTATTCATTTTTCCATATAAAATGTTTATAATTTATGATTTTATAGGTTAGAGAAATTCAATTAGAAACATTAGAATCGGAAGCAAGTGAAGTTGATGATACTGGTACCCGACTACCCCAGAATCGATTTAATGATTCTGATATAGCTACGATCCCAATCAATGAAAACCTTTTTGTAGATGAAGATCTAGATGATCTGGATGATGACCTAGATGAATTGAATATAGATGATAATGATGATTCTACAAAATAGATTAAGAAAAAAAACATTGCTTCAACAAATAATTATTTTTAATAATAACTCTTAAAATGCATCCTCTTGTTATTAAATATAATTTAAAAAAAGTATACATGTTTATGACCTTAAATTTTCTACAGTCTCGCAAATTTTAAATGCAGATTCTATACAACCGTTGAATGTTGACTGGGTGAAACTATCACCACCAGCTATAATTGGAATGGATTCATTTAGTAAAATACATCCTGGACTGTTGTTGTAAGGAGTTKTCACTTGTGAATATAACCATTTATGAACATTGCATGATGCAGGTAATGGCCAGTCTGGAAACAATTTGTGTACTTTATCATTTAACATTGGAAACACACTTTCTTTGGTTTCTTCTATATGTTTTTGTCCAAATTCYTTGGTTGTATGGAAAATAATGCAATCTGGTGAATTATATTGTTCTCGTTTTCTATTTTCTATAGAAACATATCTGAATGTTTCATCATCCAAAAATTTTACGTCCCATTCTGTTTCTAGTACAGGTTTTTCATAAAACATATTGTACGTAAAACGTGTACTGTAGATGACTTTTTCAAGTTCATTGCGAACCGTTTGAGACATTGGACAATTTATTTGAAGAATTTGTGGTGCTGGTGCTGTTATAACTATTAAATCAAACGACTCTTCACTTCCACAGACACAAGTCACTTGACCTGTAGATGTGATTGCAGAAACTCTCTTTTGAAATTTGGTGCAATCRATATTAGCATAGTTTAAAAAATATTTTACTAAT